TTTGGACACCATTGTTTTTCACTTGGGGTTGGCGGTGCCCCGCTGTATTTACAGTCGTATCATCTGGGTACCTTTTCGCGATCCCGCGATTCCGCGCACTTGTCCCCGTGCTAGAGTTCTAGGCAGGGCCAAAAGGGGCGGGCGTTGGCGTCCCTGGGGGGGCCTCCCAGAAAAGGATTGACATTGTGCGCGAGGGTGCAATGTCCTGTTCGGGCCTCGTAAACCTCGTCAGAATTTCAAGGTGAATCGGAAAGCGGCTTCACAGTTATTCCCAACCATCCTGTGGTGTTGGGTCCTCGTTTTGAAGAGACGGTGCCCCGCGTTCCCGCCTCCTTCCTCCCTCCCTCCTCCCCCCTCCTCCCCCTCCCACACGCATTCTGGCACACCTCTCACACGTTTCGTGGCCCCATAAGGAGCTCCACCGAAGGCCCCAGTGGGTGCGCCCGCATAGGGTTCCACCACCCATTCTGGCACACCCCGCACACGTTTCGTGGTCCCATAGGGAACTCCACCGAAGGCCCTAGTGGCTGCGCCCGCATGCGGTTCCACCTCCCGTTCTGGCACACCCCTCGCACGCTTCGTGGCCCCATAGGGAACTCCACCGAAGGCCCCAGTGGCTGCGCCCGCATGCGGTTCCACCCCCCATTTCGGCACACCCCTCACACGTTTCGTGGCCCCATAGGGAGCTCCACCGAAGGCCCCAGTGGCTGCGCCCGCATGCGATTCCACCCCCCATTCTGGCACACCCCTCACACGTTTCGTGGCCCCATAGGGAGCTCCACCGAAGGCCCCAGTGGCTGCGCCCGCATGCGGTTCCACCCCCCATTCTGGCACACCCCTCACACGTTTCGTGGCCCCATAGGGAGCTCCACCGAAGGCCCCAGTGGCTGCGCCCGCATGCGGTTCCACCCCCCATTCTGGCACACCCCTCACACGTTTCGTGGCCCCATAGGGAGCTCCACCGAAGGCCCCAGTGGCTGCGCCCGCATGCGGTTCCACCCCCCATTCGGCACACCCCTCACACGTTTCGTGGCCCCATAGGGAGCTCCACCGAAGGCCCCAGTGGCTGTGCTATTCCATTTTGGCACACCCTCACACGTTTCGTGGCCCCATAGGGAGCTCCACCGAAGGCCCCAGTGGCTGCGCCCGCATGCGGTTCCACCCCCCATTTCGGCACACCCCTCACACGCTTCGTGGGTGGCTCCATGGGGAGCTCCACCGAACGCCCCAGTGGCTGCGCTCGCATGTGGCCCCCCCCCTTTCGGCACACCCCTCACACGGTTCGTGGCCCCATAGAGAGCTCCACCGAGCGCCCCAGTGGCTGCGCTCGCATGCGGTTCCACCATCTTTTTCGGCACGCCCTTCACACGTCTCGTGGCCCCATAGGGAGCTCCACCGAACGCCCCAGTGGCTGCGCTCGCATGCGGTTCCACCCCCCATTTCGGCACACCCCTCACACGCTTCGTGGCCCCATAGGGAGCTCGACCGGATGCCCCAGTGGCTGCGCTGGCATGCGGTTCCACCCCCCATTCTGGCACACCCCTCGCACGCTTCGTGGCCCCATAGGGGGCTCCACCAAAGGTCCCAGTGGCACTGCCCGCTTGCGTCCGCCACCACCAAGCACAGCCCTTGTTCCCTGCGCTTCACCCACCCAGAACAGCGCTTCGTAGCCCTATAGGGAGCCCCACCAAAGGTCCCAGCGGCACCGCCCGCATGCGTCCGCCACCACCCTGCACAGCCCTTGCTCCCTGCCTGCGTTTCACATACCCAGTACAGCGCTTCGTGGCCCCATAGGGAGCTCCACCGAAGTTCCCAGTGGCACCGCTCGCATGCGTCCGCCACCACGCAGCACAGCCCTTGCTGACCGCGTCTCGCCCACCCAGTACAGCGCTTCGTGGCCCCATAGGGAGCTCCACCGAAGCTCCCAGTGGCACCGCCCGCATGCGTCCGCCACCGCCCAGCACAATTGCGGCATTCACAACTGCATATGGTTGGGTCCTTCGCCAGGCTAGTTTTCACTTGTAGATTTTTTTATAGTCGTAGTAGCGGTATTCGAAGTAGTGGTAGTAGTAAGAGTAGTCGTAGTAGGGGTAGTAGTAGTTGTAGCAGTAGCAAGAGTAGTAGTAGCAGTAGAATAAGTAGTAGTAGCCGTGGTAGTAGTAGTAGTAGTAGTAGTAGTAGTAGTAGTAGTAGTAGTAGTAGTAGTCGTAGTAGTAGTAGTAGTAGCAGTAGTAGTAGTAGTAGTAGTAGTAGTAGTAGTAGTAGTAGTAGTAGTAGTAGTAGTAGTAGTAGTAGTAATATAGTAGTAGTAGTAGTAGTAGTAGTAGTAGTAGTATTCGTTCAGTGAGTCTGGTTGACTGATACAGATAAGCAGGAGGAGGTGAGTAGGAGGTGGGTTCGTTTTCGGAGCCGCGTAAGAAATGACACGAACCCCATCTTATGACATAGGGAATCTGCATACACTTTCGGCGGGCCGCGTATATTTCTTGGGTCGACGTTTGACCCCCTGCCCTGGCGCGAAAGTTGATGGTGATGCAGCTGGGTGGCCCTCCAATTACAGGTTCTCGTGGCGGCTTCGATTATAACCGGCGGACCTTAGCGTAACCGGAGCCTCAGGAGCCGAGCAACGCCGAACTCCAGGAATGACTTCAGCAGAAGAGAAGGACAACGCCGCACTCTGCAATATAAGCTCGAGCTCATCAGAAGGATCAGCACAACCACCACGCGAGTCCCA